AACCAATGGAGAGATACAGAACTATTGTGAGGGCAAACCAAAATCTACCCTCCAATTCTCTCTGACCCACATTCCCAGTTAGAAGCCAACAGGCTTTTCATTTCCTCCTCTCCCTTACCATAGGGTAAACACAAACCTAGTGAGGAATTTCCTGTTATTCCATACGGAGGCAGTTAGCATTCGCTAACATAGCAGATTGCTTGGGTTTCAGCTAATATGTCCAGAAATAGCCGCTGTGTTTGCACAGCATTCATTTACGCAGCTGTAATGTAACTGAGTTTTATTCACTGCACATTGTGGCTGACTGGTAGAGATGGAGCTGTTACTGCAGGTTGTGTTTAAGGAGTAACTAAACCCTAAAACCATTTTTTTCAGCTGATAATCATTGTTTCTGGTTGTATATTAGTGTTACTGACTGATCCTGCTTAAAATCTTGACAGTTTAGTTTAAACTGTTGAAAATCTACATTTTTTTTTAAAAATGTTTTATGGAGTGCCCTCTACAGCTTGAAACCTGGTTACTATGTTTGAATTTACATTACATTACATTGGGGGTGAATGACTCTTTTTCGGGACGAATGACGTCAATAACCGTCCACACTGAAGCCTGCCCTCCTCCCTTTACTCCTCCCCTTACTATAAAACCATTCTGTTCGCAGTTATTAAACTGATAGCGAGTAGGTTGGATCAGAGCAGAGAGAGAAGTAGAGCAGAGAGAATAGCTAGTAATTTGTCGAATTGTATTGTTAGTGTATTTTAGTGTAGGTTTACAGTTAGTAGTGTGTTTATAGTATTTAGTTGGTCAAAGAGAAGCGCTGAGGCTCGGGAGTATATGTGCAGGGCGGTGAGGGAGGGATGTGGAGGGCCGCTGTGCAGTGAGAGAGAGCCGAGCCTTGGGGGTATATGTGCAGGGCTGCGAGGGAGGGAGGGGTGGATGGATGGATGGATGGATGGATGCGGTGGGCTTCTGCGCGGTGAGCCCAGGCTCCCAGAGAGGGAAAAATAGAACCAAGTAGGATAAAATAAGTCAAAGTGTGGAGAAGGGGACCGGCTGAGTTCCGGCCGCCTTCCCCTCTGCCCGTGTGACACAGTTAGGGGCGGTTTTCCAAGCCACCATCGGCACAATGGATATAAGCTCCACTGTCGGCAGGGTGAAAAAAAGTCTAAGTGTGGAGATGGGGAGAAGGGTGAACAGGGGGAAAGAGGCCGAGCTCCAGCCGCCTTCCCTTCTGCCCGTGTGACACACTTAGGGGCAGTTTTCCAAGCCACCATTGGCACAATGAAAATAAGTGTGGAGGAGAGGGACCAGGTAAAGAGGCCGACCCCCAGGGAAGCCCTCTCCGCTCTCCCCGCAGCCGCTCGCCTGTCCCCTCCCCTCAGCTCCGCCTATCTTTTCTGAATTTTTTTAAATCAAGCTGTGGGCGGAGTAATGCCCAGAGAGGGGGGTTTAGTTCCCCTTTAAGCTCTATGCATCTTTGTAAGAGAACAAAATGTCTATACAGCATGTCTTGTTAACCTGCATGTTAAAGGACTACTGCTCATTTCAAGGGTAATTCATGTTTACAACCCCAATTCCAAAAAAGATGGGGCACTGTGTAAAACTTAAAGGGCCAGTGTGTAAAATGGGTTGAAAACAGTGACATCAGTGGTCAAATTCTAGATTGCAGGGCTCACTCGCTCACCCCTCCCATCGGGTAAATGACGGTGGCCTCGTAGGGACAAAAAGCCTTGCGCAGACACGAGTTTTTCAGGAGTAGGTCTATCTAGCGACAAGGTGAATGTTTATTTAGAAATCTAATCCATGTTATTATATTGTAATGAATCTCTCACGAGCAGGAGACCAGAGTAGCGTTCGGGAAAAAGGCCCATTTATTTGAGCGCTCCAAAAACTCTGGTAACACTCCAGGGGGTAAAAGACTCCGTCCCAAACTCTGACTCTTCTAGCGTAACACACACACTCCATACACACATACTCGTTTACACTACCTAGCGGGTACCCCCTCCCCTCTCTGTTCCACCAATCTCCAGCCCGCACACTGACTGACAGTGTAGCCTGTAAACAGAGCTCAGCTGTTTATTTAGCCTAGCAATATCTCCGGACTATTGTAGCTGCAATGGACGACTTTGAACGGGATTTTGAAGAGTTTCTTGCAGCGGACACAGAACCAGAGCCATACCTGTTTGAGCCGGAGCATACAGATGAGGAACTCCATGTGTTGGATGCTGAGTGGGCGAGATGAGAGGCTGAATCCTCTGCTCCCATTTTGCTGCACACAATGGGATTCGGTGTTACCATTGTTGGGGAGATATATCATCAGGAGGAAAAGCGCTGCAGAGAGTGCATCACAAGGAGTGAAGTTGCGCCTTCTTTTCCTCGCAAATGACGGTTCGGGTTCATTCTCTCCTGTTGCGTGGTAAGTGTGGTCCATTCGCAAACTTTATAACTAAAAAAACTTTTCACTACTCTCTATGGACGAACTACTAACACTCTCTGCTGTTTCCTCCTCCTCCTCCTTCCTTCCTTCCGCTGTCTTCGTTGGTTTATTTATACACGCGAAACAAGTTCTCTGGCTGGCTGGATTGTCCGCTAGGGGTGCCTTACATACATGGCGGCGCAAGATGGCGACCTCTCTAAAGCAAGGCCCAAGACCCCAGTCTGGGGTCTCTGTTATCATATTTTGCACTTCATAATGCACCACACATTTTTTATAGGAGACAGGACTGGACTGCAGACCGGCCAGTCTAGTACCTGCACTCTTTCACTACGAAGCCACTCTGTTGGAACACATGCAGAATGTGTATCATTGTCTTGATGGAATAGGCAGGGACGTCCCTGAAAAAGATGTCACCTTGAGGGAAGCAAATGTTGCGCCAAAACCTGTATCTTTCAGCATTCATGGAGCCTTCACAGATGTGCAAGTTACCCAGTAGCGGATCCTGATATGGGCCGAATAGGCACTTTGTCACGATGCGTCGGGGGGCGGCAGAAGGGCGGAGGAAGGGGGGTCATCACTGATGGATTTTGCAGCAAGGAAGGCCAGAAGGGTGAGGTTTTAGCTGCAAGTGTGTTCTTCTGATCAGTGCAGTAGTATCAAAATTTTTGCTCGGGTTTGGCACACTTGACATGCTGCTGTTTTGTGCTATGCGTATTCAAGTGCTGGAATCTGTTATTTACGTGACAACGCCTGAACGCAACACACACTCCGCTCCAGTTGAGTGTGTGTTCAGTGCTGTGCCGCGCTGCTGTGCAAGCAGCATGTTACGCACTGTCCATAACAATAACTATGTCAGGTAACAAACTGCGTCGGACTCGGTTCGGGTTCGATCAAGAAAATGCGGCCCTAGCCGCGCTCTAGTGTGCTCACCTGTAAGTGCGCGCACGTGTCTGTGTCTGTGTGTGCACGCGCATTGGGGCGGAATTCTGCCATTCCCGATACAGAGAGCAGAGGAGATTTGTGAAGGTGCGACCATGTAGAGACAGAAATGACATGCCGTGGTGTAAATAAGATAAATAACATAAGGCTATTCAGTTGTTTGTTTTGGGTGGGCGCCATAAGAGGGTGTGGCCCAGGGCGCCATTTAGGCTAGAACTTGACCATGAAAGAGTGTTGACATTGCACTTAAGGAGCATATCCCACTTTGCATTTCTGTCTTGTCTTGTTGTAAACTCATAATGGAAAAATATTATGTTAATTGATTATATCTAATAATATAATTAATTACAATTATATCAATAGTATAATTATAATGAAAAAATATCTTTAACTTTCTCCAAAATTTGTTAAATTTTTTTGAAAACTATTACTTCCTTAAAGTAGGCCTTATATTGTATATTGTTACATGTTTTATGTCTAAATGAAAAAGAAAGACTAATGTGAACGTATGTAAATAGACACAAAGGGAAATTAATTGATTTGTGACATACTTTTTCATCTTTGGGCTTGGGGGTATAGTTATCAAGTATTTTAAGGTCAAAAGGCTCAAGTCCAAGTGAAGTCACAAGTCATCTGTGTTAAAGTTCAAGTTGAGTTGCAAGTCTTTTTGATTTTGTCATCAAATTTGTCAATTTAAATTTGTCAATTTAAGTCATCAAATTTGTGACCCGTGTCCGACTCAAGTCCAAGTCATGTGACTCAAGGCTACACCTCAGCTTATACCAGAGATATTGGATAAAGGAGATACCCCACCGTATTCTTACCCAATGTTAAGAAAACGATTACTCTTCCTGTCTCCTAAGTGGGCGTGGTTAGCTCTCCCTCCAATCAGAGCCTGTTCTCCCTCAACCCCCCCCTCCCCACCACCGTGTTGAACAGAGGCTCTGTGGATGTCTGTGTATGCGGATCGAAAAGAAGGTGGAATGAAAATACATTCTTCCTATTATTGCAGCCTATTGTTGCACAAAGCTTGGGCATTTTTTATTTGTTACTAGCGGTAAATAACTGTTTGTAAGCTGTGATTTTACCGCCTGTTTATCAAGATCAAAAGATCTCGCGAGAACTTGTTTTCTGAGACGGACAGGGCTCAAACAAAGTTAACTTTCTCTTGATCTGTGCGGATGAAAAATGCAGCTTTAGTGTCAGAATGTTGGTAAGATGTGTGGCTTGTGGAAAACGAACCCAATATTTACTTTAGTGACTATAAGGCGAAAGAATTGACCATAAATTGTGATCACGTTCATTTTCCTCATTGACGTCAATACATTCAGAGCTGCCGCAAGTCTCCTACGGGGGCGTGGCGCTGACGTCACTGAATCAGGAAGTGAGCTGAGTGGGGTATCTCGCTTTATCCAATCTCTCTGCTTATACCTGTGCTTTTTCTGCACAGTTAGAAAGGCCAGTTGGGCTGATACAAGAAGCACTCCACCAGTTTTACACATACTGGCCCTCATTTATCAAACGAGCGTAAAAACAGATGCAGATCTGAGTGCAGGATTCATCTTACGATAGGACACACGTGTGATTTATGAAACGTTCGTATCTGACCAGTCCCAGCGTACGAATGATCAGGCCTTGATAAATGCGGCGGCTGAAATCGATCGTCATTAGCATGTCGCGCCCTTAAATATTCATGGTTCAGAGGCCTCGCCCTGTGAGGTCGCAACATGGAGGGGAGAAATATTGCAAAGAAAAGAAACTTTTCCGAGCTGGAAATCGACACCCTCAAGTCTGAGGTGGAGGTAAATGAAGACGTGCTTTTTGGAAGTTTAGAAACTGGCATTAAAGGAGCCCATAAAAACGCTGTCTGGAAGAAGATCACGGAGGCAGTCAACAGCGTCGCCAATAAGTAAGTCAATAAGTAGTCTATAGCCTAATCTAATATTTAAAAAAAAAAAAAAATCTTTTATTCATCCATAGCTTCATAGCCAATATCTGGTAGTTGATCAAGTCACAATTCTTTACGTTTAGGTCAAGAAAAAGTGGTCAGACTTAAAGCTGGCAACAAAAAGCTTTTAGGCGCAGCAACACGCAGATTGGAGGAGGCCAGCCAGACCCCAGCCTGACCCTGACGAGAACCGTGGAAAGAATCTCCTCACTAATCGTGTCAGAATCTCTCTGGCATAAGTGGTGGTGGTGGAGACACAGGCGCACGTGCATCGGAGCCGGAGCAGAACGGTAACTAACAGCCCTCCTTTTACTTGCATTAGTTAATTTAACCTGACAGTACACTACTGTCCAAACAAATAGGCTTACACGTGTTACACAGGTACACATTTTTATTGTTTTGTTTAAATGCTGTTTCAGAGCCAGGCACCTGCGGCATGGCGTCCAGGTCCTCTCCCCAGAGCGGTCCCACCGAGCCAGGCAGGCGAGCGCGTGCCCTCCGCCTCCCGTGCTTGGCCAGTCATCACGGCAGAGGTCCTGGAAAGGCAGACAGAAATATGCCATTTATTGGCTTCAGTTAGCACGCTAGAGACAATTAATAACACGCTAAAATAAATTAACTAGAATCTAAAAAAAAAACAACCCCTGAATAAAATGTTTAAATAACTAAATGTTGTCCATTGTCTGTATTGAATATCCCTATACTCTTATAGTCTATACTTGCATTACATTACTGATTAAATAGGCCTACTGTAGAGCACTTACACAACTTTAAAGTATAGCCTACTTTACATTTTAGAAGCGATGAATGAGGTCCTGTCTCCTCCGTATAGCCCCCTGGGCTGTGCTGGCCACGGTTCCCGGCATTGGTTCATCTGGCTGCGCCGGCACATCAAACGGCACTCCATTGTCTAAAGCAATATTGTGCAAAACTGCACAGGCCAAAATGATGTCGTACACCTTTTCTGGGGTATACAGCAACGTTCCTCCCGCTGGTCCAAGACAGAGCCACCTGCGCTTGAACAACCCGAAGCAGCGCTCCACCGTGACCCGTGTGCGTGTGTGCGCACTGTTAAACCTGCGCTCCTGCTCTGTGGCAGGGTTTGCCAGCGGGGTTATAAGGTATTGAGGGGATAACCTTTGTCATATAGAATATGAACCATACCAAAATGTTGTCATTTAATAGCCTACTTATCGAGGAGACACCGGCCCTGCAGTGCGCTGTCCCGTAGCCGTGCGCCCCCCCGGACACGATACCGTTTAGTGATAGCCTGGCATCACAAATTACCTGTAAGTTAATAGAGTGGTAATTTTTGCGATTGATGAATGCGTAATCATTCATGGCTATTTCATTTTGTCTTATTCGTTTTGGGAATCCTTTTTTAATCTAGCCTACTGAATATGTGGCTGCATATGCTTAGATGACAAGTTTGAGGTTTGTTTAATAATTATTTTCAGACTCAGCCAGATCTTGCTGTGCTGCACCGCAAAAGTGATGTAACCTGGGTCATCTCTGTGGAGACCTAGGAGCTAACCAAGACATAGAGGGTCAAAAGAAAATATGCTGCATTGCATTATGGGGAATTCAGTGATTCCTGGAGTTTCACCCATAAGCACTAAAAGTATTTAGGCCTGTGCTACTAGTAATTACCTGTCACCTGTAACAAGTCAAGCAGCAGTCCATTGCCATTTAACGGAAATGTTTATTCTAGTAAACAGTACAGACCATGTGGAGAGGATCACTGTTCAAAATAAACCAGCATCTGTTCTCTCCTCAGCTATTAGTGTAACTGTAAGCAGTCCTCCAAACTGTTGTTGTTACTTTATCGTCTTCATCTTCACTTTTTATAGGACAAATATATCAGACATGATACTATACAGACTGTACACACATCATCTTAATAAAGACAGCTCAGATTATTTCGCCTACACCGGAGGAAGGGCAGTTGAAGGCAGGGGAAAAACCCCCCAGCAACGACAAGATTTAGAGAATAAACACAAAGTGAATGGAGAATAAAACAAGTCCCTCTAAAATCAGTTTTGGCAGCTTACTATTAAGCATCAGTGTTTCAGTAAGACAGAAATTAAAAGGCTTTATACCAAAATGAAATCGCCACCAACTTGAAAATGAAAAATGAAATTAATATTTAACCAAGGAATAATTAAGTTGTAAATCTTCATATTTTTCATCTTAACTGCTAATATAGTTAATTAGAACATATGTTAAATTTATGTATCCACTTTCTTTTCCCCCAAATAGATAAAAAGCATCAATAAAAAGGTTTGTAGATTCTGCAGCTAGTGGAATGCAATCAAAGCATGAAGTTCTACAAAAAAAAGTCAGGACAGAGGAGTAGGTGGCTGCTGGTGCATAAATAATCATATTAAAAACATATGCTACATTATCAAAAACATCAAACTGGTTTCACAGGATACATAAAACAACAATAAAAATAATTATCGATTGCACAATGGAGGTATCAGATGACAGTATAAATGATGGTACTGGTGTTATTCACCTCTCTAAGCAGTACACAGTGGACACACTGAGGTCAGAGAAAAGTGGACAGAAACCCATGAAGAATAGACAGGTTCACAGCTCACATCAGGCTAGGTGTCATCTAGGCTATCTATATGTTTTGGTACCAACTGAAATATCTCTGGAACAGTGAATGTCAAAAACTGTCAAGTACCATAGATTGGCACCAAATATCTGGTTGAATTTATAATATTGTAACTTCCTTGGTGATGAAAAAAGTACCCAGTTTAATTTCACTAATTGACATTTGTCCATAAAATCAAAATCTAAGAACTAAACAGTCTATTGTTTTTATACTTGTTTTCGTTTCTGTACCAAGACTCAGGTTTGACCACTGGAATCAAAAGGTCCAAATGACATCCAGCACTAGCTCTCAGTGTGTGCATACCCTGGAAACAGCACTTTGACAAAAAACTAACTTTTTTTAAACAAGCTTTCAAACATAAGATGTGTTTGAAGCTCCAGAAAAGCCAGTAAGTCAACCTTGAGGAATGAGTTTTTTCTCAGTGCTTTCTAATATTCAAGTATTGGTTTTGCTTCTGGGAGGCAGCATTTAACATTTCACATGACTACTGTAACATATTCTGTGAAACCCTCTGCTTCCTGGATGTTGCCATTTATACTGTGTGAAAATATTGATGCGTACAGAAATAACTATGACCACAGAATGTCACAGTTCTGCTCTGGAACAAATCTTTGACAATGACACAGAAATCAACAGAAGAGTAGCCCAAACCTCCTCCCAGAACAGAAGGTACCAGGTATCCTGTGACACTCACATCTTGTCTTCATCATAGATTTCTGCTCACACGTTTCACACAGGCTTTGCTTTCAAAATGCAGCACACACTGAAACCAAATTTAAGGGGACACTTGGACATTTTGAATATTAGTCTTTTTTTGCTGCACATGATGCATGTCACACTGCTGTGAACAAGTTGCTAGAGCTTTAGATAACTGAAAATTGCTTTGTTAGCAATTTCATTCCATATTTTTTTTTCAAAATAAACTATCTACTTGTGACCATAAAAGGTGACGTGATTTTAAAGGGATAGTTGGAATTGGAAAAGTGAGTTTGTATAGGGAACTTATCCATAGTCAGTGTATTTCATGCATTAGATGTCTGTCAGCATGCCCTCAGTTTGAAGTAGTGGGCTTGAGTAGAGGTCTCAACGGGCTAAAAAAATTTCAACCCGAACCAAGCCAACCTGTGTGAGTTTTGGCTAAAACTTAGCCCGTCTGAGATCATCACATGAAATACTGAGCCTGAGCCCAACCAAGCCCTTCCACCACAAAAAACACCAGTCAGCTTCTGATGCCCGGGACACACCAGCTGTGTGGCGGCACAAGCCACGTGCGTCTCCAGTGGAAAACGGGCCAGCTCGGTGAATCACCGACTGTCAACACTGTTTGTCTCTGCCAGAGAAGCTCCCTACTGCGGCTGGGAGGAAGGACAGAGAGCATGGGCTAGGCTGGTCATTGGTCAAAAGCCACCAGGCTACAGTAAAAGAAACTGGAGATGATATCAATCAATCACTCAAACAATCAGTCACTCAATCAATGTATAATATCTATGTTGGTTTTATATTTAAATAAATAATAATTACATAAATTAAGATCAGAGTGCTCACTTTTTATTCTATTTTTTTAATTAAACAAAGAAAGAGAGATTTTTTTCTTTTTTTTCCCCCATAGCCCGAGCCCTACCCAATTCGGCCAATCAGTGCAAATTTTTGGCCCAAACCCATCAGACTTTTCGGAACCCGATGGGCTTGGGTTGAGATTGAGACTGATTCCGTTGGACAGCTGTTTTGATGGGTAACAGCTCCCCATCTATGCTCTCATCAAAGCCACCAGACTCCACTGACAAAAGAAGGAATTTTAGCTTGCTGAACACAGGAGCTGCTGGTCTACTGCTGCTTCCATCAGTTAGTTATTTTGTGTTTATGTGACTTTGGTGAATCTGAACTAACACTTTTTTAACTCCCAAAGTCACACAAAAGCACAAACAAAATAACTGATGGAGGAAGTAGTAGACCAGCAGCTTCTTTGTTCAGCAATTTTAAATCACTGTTTTTCTCAATGGAGTCTAGCTTTGAAGAGAGCGATATAATGGCTTCATTTTCCCATTGGAAATCACTGTCTTACATTTAGGTAAATTAGTGACAATATTCTCATTATAGCATACACTGAAACTGATCTTGATTTTGTTTTAGGTGGGGCTTTTTAGGTGGATAAAATGTGTTCTGTTGCTGACCCCTCCACAGCATTGCATTGCTTAGCTTTTAATGTTGGACTCCAGTCTGCTTCTCCAAATTGCGGGTGTCCTGACTGACATCGGTTTGTAATATACTGTCTGAAGTGGGGTTGTATCCCATACAACCCCACTTCATGAAATCTCAACTATCCCTTTTAAGATATGTTGTCAGTAGAAACAAAACGAAAACAGGGTGGGGGAGGAGGGAGACTAACATGTTGATTTTGCTCTTTTCATGTGATTAGTTGGAACCCCATTCTTACACTTAACATAGGCTTAAATACACTCTAAGCAAAGCAGTGTTGGCATTCCTTATCAGAACTAACGGGTAGTAGCTGACATCAAGCTACCTTGTTAGCTGATAGCTGATAGCTAACAACACCCTTTGGTTTCAGTGAGGAATGAAAGCAGGTATAATGAGGTTCCTCATACAGTAACATTCTCACTACAGTGTGACAGGAGCAAGGCAAAGACTCAAAATGCCACTATGAGTTATAGGACTGTGAGGTAAATGGAAGCTGTTTGGAAGGTGTTAGCTGTGAAAGGCTTAGTGAGGCTCACCATGTACCATGGACACTGCTCCCCTACAGGTACACAGTTTGTAACAGCTACAGCAAAGTAAATATTCATGAGATGTAAACAAGACAAAACATGGCAGGGAAAGGCAGTTCACATTTCTATCTAGCAAAGTCAGTGGCTACACATCAACTTTAACTTGAGCATTTCTGTCCAATTTAGGAGAATTCACATTATTATCATTTTTACCCCCAGAAAGGCAGTTCCATACATATAGCACATCTGGGGGAAAACATTGTTCGATATTTCAGTCATACTGCTGGCTTCCT